CGTCTAGACTGGCGCTTTTCTCCGGCAAAGCCCCGAGACGGAAAAAAGCGGCAGCCATGTTCATGCAAATGCCGCGGGGGATATTTGCAATTCCGACTTGTCTTATTGGCACCCTTTTCCGGAAAAGGGATGCTAATGTGGACACAGCCAAAGAGGTTTGAGAGAACAATCAGCATTAGGTGGAGGCAGCTAGGGAAGGAGTCTGAGGAGGCGTGGCTGGACTTCCTACCACAGAGACCTGCTGCGAACCCCAAACTCTGGGGTTAGGAGTGAGAGACCAGCCCAGTGGTGGCCTGGGTAAGAGGGGCCCTTGCCACATTCCCCTTAGTTTTGCTTCCCGTGGAACCTTACCTACTAGTTCTCTGAGCTCACTAAAATCTGCCTTCCTGAAATCCATTGTCTCTGTTTTGCTGTTCTCCCTTCTACCATTCCTTAGAATCATGATTTCATGATTACTTTCATCCAAGCTGCCTTCCATTTTCAGATTTTCAACCAATTCCTCCCTATTTGTTAAAATCAAATCTAGAACCGCTTCCCCCCAGTAGCTTTTTCAACCTTCTGAAATAAAAAATTGTCTTCGATGCAGTCCAAGAACTTATTGGATAGTCTGCGCCCAGCTGTTTCCCAACATATATCTGGATAGTTGAAGTCCCCCATCACCACCAAATCCTGTGCTTTGGATGATTTTGTTAGTAGTTTAAAAAAAGCCTCATCCACCTCTTCTACCTGGGTAGGTAGTCTATAGTCCTCCTCTGGACTAGATTCATTATGAGAATTAATTTGTTTTGTCCAGAAATGCTATTATAATAATAATAAGTACACTATTCAGTTATTTAGCAAATCTTAGGGTTTTTTAAGCTTCAGGAGGCAAAAGTGCAAAATGTGTCTGCCTGGTCCAATTCCTTGCTCCAGTTTAATTTTTGACACATGTTGTTCAGCTTTAAGACAGGGCATCACTGTTACCTTGCTTTAATGTGATTGATGTTGGCAGGAAGATAAAATTCAAGTCTTTAAAATGCAAGGCCTAACAAAAAGCCTCCGATAAATCCACCAACATGCCATTATGTTCTCTTAGATAAATTCTGTTGACTGTGCAGTGAGGGTGTTGATTTCATTATGTCTTATTTGTTTGCTTGGTTATTGTTTTGCTTTGTTTACATCTTTTTCAACTTGTCATATCACTTGTACCTAACCAGTAAGACTAGCAATTTGAAGCAGAAGAAAGCCACTGGTTGCTGCAGTTGCTACAAGTTTTCTAATTTTCTCAAACAATGTGCCATGAATTACAAGTTGAGTAGCTACAGAATAGTTCTCTACAGTTGAACTGAAGTATCTGCCAAATGTACAATACCCTACTGGTGATGCCTCACATATTTTGTTAAATCCAATTGTTGTGTTTGGAGGCTGAGCCAGTGTCGCGAGAACAACAGGTCCGAAGGAGGGGAGGGGAGAAAGGACAGAACCAAGTGGACCGTTTTAGTAATAAAAGATATTTATTTATGACAGTGATGAATTTATAGTATTTATTCTAAGATTTTTAATTGGCCGTGTCAGTAATGAATTTACAATATTTATTTTATTATATTCTACGATTTCTAGTTGAACGTATCAGAAATATAAGGATGGGAACAGCAAGGGGAATAGTCTCTGCTCTAAAGATATCAAGCTATACTAATTAACAACAGTGATAACTACAAACTCTATGTGCTACCGAAACAACTATAACACTAAGCTATACAACAAGGAAAATCAAATCATACATACCAACTTACACAGCACACGGAACATTTCAAAGATATCGGTTCGGTTGCGAAGGCCTTGGTTATGCCTGAGAGTCAGGGGAGGTGGCTGGTCGGTTGATCAGGCTGGCAGCGCTTTGAAGTATACAGGAAGGCACATGCCCGGTGGTGCGTGTGTTGTGAAGACCTCCTTGAGCGAACTGTGTGATGGGTATTTATCCCCAAGTCTGCACATCGCTTTCCCGCGCTTGCATATTGCCATATACGGCCCAACGGTCACCAAGTGGGGGTTCTGTGTCACCGGCTGGGCCGAAACTGAGCAGGTTTCATGCGACCAGGTAAGCTCCGCAGTTCTCACACCAAGGTGATGGGTGGGAGAGTGCAAAGCTATCTTCCCCTTTTCACACCTTCCCTTTTCTAAAGGCAATGGTATGCAGGAAGGGTGCGGCCGGTTCTTCCCAAGGAGTACTGCGGCCCACTATAGCAAGAGCAGCCTGGCCAAATTTTTTACTGGGGAGCAGTTGTTGTTTTTTTTTTAATTTAACAAGCCACGGCCCCCGATACACCATGTTTTCAAATATTTAGGGTGGGCTCAGCCTGGGGCCACACACAAGAGAAGATACTGACAGAGCTTTGAGAATAGAAGCATTACAATAATATATTCTCAAATGCACTAGTAAACATCAGTTTTCCTTGAAGCCAAATGGCTGTCTGAGGTTTTGTTTCAAAGCACAGATCAGCCCTGGATGAAAGAATTGGGTTTATTGTAGTTGTATTCCTTTTCCTCTAGATTTTCCAACTTGAAACTAATCTGAAACAACAGATCTCTTATTCACCTAGGGATATGGGAAGGAACCCATACATACCAATATATAATCCTTTCTTAAAGAAGATTCTATGCCAAATCCTTTCAGATCTCACATCTTTTATGGTAATTTTGTAAGATTGTCTCAGGTTTCAGTATAATTAAGCCCCTTTGTTTTCAGTTTAAAGTGATTTTTACCAAAACATTCCCAGGTGTTACAAAAACATTATTCATTTTTTTTCTAATTTTCACTCAACTTTTATATCATTCGGATCTAGACTAAAGCTTGGTTTATTGGGAAAATACAATACTATATGAGATGTGTATTATGTTATTACATTAGTCTGTGTGCATATGCAAAGCTGTCTGTTGCATGAAGTAAGGCAATGTATTTGGATAGATATAGAAGATACACACAATAGACAAACAGTCACACATGCAAGCTCTGAAGTGCATGCAGATCTGACTGCTCATGAATCCTATACCCACTGTATACATATTTCAAGCTGATAGCAGATAATGGTTTAAAGGTTTGACAGACTAAAATGATGGGAATGAAAATCTGTATTAGAATATGTTTCAGAACACAAGGGAAATATTTGGAAGGTTTTTTTAAAAAAACTGGAAAGAAAGATGGAGCTGAGAGTATGCACTGCAAATGGTGTCATCCAATTATTAAATGTAAATATTTATAGGCTAATAGTTCTAAATCTACAGCAGTAAACTTGTTTTGGGGGTAATTTAAATTATATTGTTTTCTTAAGCTCAGGGGTGACATTGGGTTGTGAGTTCTGTTAGTTCTGCGTCACACCACACTGATAAACAGAATTCAGAGCATTAATCTACAGATACTTTCCCCACTGTCTCTCCATTCACTAAAATTAACCCTGATATTTACCCAGAAAAATTATTGATACACTGATTTTACCCGTTCTTATTGTTGTGGTAGAAAACACTGATAAATTTCTAAGAAAAACTAAATAAAATAAAAATAGAAAGCAAAGGGTCCTAAATATAATTAAGATGCAGATGGTGGTCACTAGATGGCAGACTTTAACCTTTTAAAGAAGACATTCACTGTAGGAGACTCTTCCTGGGAAGGCGAGCCTTTGTTTCAAAAGTAGGTGGGCTTTCTGAGGATAGCTACCCAGTTTCATAATACTCAGCCTGGGATATAATAAGAGAACAGGAAAAAAAAAACCACACATAAGGCTGATTTTGTTTGTCATATGTTCAGTTTGGGAAGAAAAATTTCCTAATAGCTTGTCATGTTTGGTTGTTTTATAATGTAAACACCTGTCGTAGCTAATAAATCATTTGCCTGACATTAGCCTACATGATCTAGTCACTGCATGTTTTTCTATAAAACAGGGAAACCTCTGAGCAGTGTGAACAGGGCTCATGGCACTAGAACACTGCATCATAAAATATAACAAAAGACACAAGGGTAAACAGAACAGTAAGACCTCAGAACACTGTGTATGTACAATTTAAAGCAAGGACATAATTTGCTACTCTGGGGGGGCATTAGATTATTTGTTTTTTAAAACACATTAAGTAAATTGTTCCCCTTTCTCCCTTGTTCAGCATGCAGGCATTTCAGATTATCCAAATAATGACTCACAGAAGTAAGAGATAGCAAAAATATTTTAATAGCTAATCCCTCCACCCAACCATCCCTGGGTTGTTTCCTATGATATATGGGATAGTGTCTTAGCCAATCCAGTTTTAAACTATTCAAGCAATTGGGCTTCTACAGTTTCTTTGAGTAATGTTCAAGAATTTTCATCCTTAAGAAATGTTTTCTGATGCTGACAATATCCAAGAATTGAATTGCAAGGTATTAATATATATTCGGAATCCAGACAATTTTGCTCATTTTTAAAAAAGCATTAGAATTTACATTAGATCAGTGCCAATATGAGACATACTTAATAACGCATATGAGAAAATAGATGCAACAAAACATAGCATAGCACAGAAACCTGTAGCAGCATCTTTAGGACTAGCCATTAGGGATGATACTGCTTTGGCAGTATACCTATATTATGCACCTGAACTAGCATAAAATATTTAGTTTATAACTTATATACTTGTGTATTTGATACTCATCAAAACCCATAACTAATTAGACTTTGTTTCTTTGCTTGAAGTGGGAGGAGCATGTTTGTACTTAGGGAGCCCACTTTTTAAAAAAACCAACAGTTAACTAAAGACCCATCTTAAATCTGTTTACAAAAATAAAATAATTTTTAAATGCCAACTTCCTGCTTGTTGTAAGTGATATTGTTATTAATATGACCAGTATGGACACTTCATCAGTTGTAGATCACCTACCAATGGTAATATCTGACAAGTATAATTGTGCTATATAGTAATTTTTCACCATCAGACTTTCTTTCCTTGACTTCTGTTGTGTCTGGAATTTTATCCCCATCCTTGTTCTCTTTCTATAGGTAATGCCTGAATTATATATGCCCTGACTAAAAGAAAGAAAGAAAGCATGTGAATTAAAGATGAACATCTGGCTGAATATTACTGGATTTGTATTCCACTGAGGCAAGATTGTGGGAAAGGAATAAATAGGAAGCTACGTATCAGTGGAATAAATAAAGTGCAAAATGGAGCAGAGTGTTCAGAGTGTAAAACAAATATGGAAAAGCAAGGAAAAGGTAATAATGTATCTTGAACTTAAATTCTTGCTTTAAAATATTAAAGCAGGGAAATTGTGAAGCCCTTCCATTCCATCAGAGTCAGAAAAGCTTGTGGGTGAATTATAATATAATAAAGGGTGTTTGGTTAGTCTTAGCATGGATGCAATACTGATTTTTTTCCCCCAAGATAACCCCTATTGTATACATTTTTAGATGGTCCCTGGCAATAACAGTGGAGCTGAGTAGACATGCTGATGTTTCAGATCCATTTGGCTAATGTAAAACATCTCCAACACTCTGAATTTTTTTAAGGGAGACGGGAGGGGTATTTTTCATGAAGACAGTGAGACAGGTGATTGAGCATTTTCCTGTAGTGGCCCCAGGGTCTGATTCACTCATTGCTGATGCCACCGGTCAGTTGAGAATCAATTCAGAGTAGGAAAATCTACAGTGGAGGCTGCTGTGATCCAAGTAGCCAAGGCAACAATACCTTCTGCTACGAAAGGTAGTGACTCTGGGAACGTGGCTATCACAATGAAGGGCTTTGCCACGATGGGGATAGCTAACTGTGGTGAAACAATAGAAGAAATGCACATCCCTGTCTTGGCACCCAATCACCTTGCCAAAGATGCATAAACTGCAAGGGGTGCTTCTTGTGATCCATCAGCACCATCGAGAGTAACTTCACTGGGCATGTCTACACTACAGAGTGATTTTGAAATAACTCCCGTTATTTCGAAATAACAAGGCAAGCACATCCACACAGCAAGCGTGTTATTTCAAAATAAAAGGCTGCTTATTTCAAAATAATAAACCCTCATTTCGCCAGGAATAACACCCATTTCAAAATTGCTATTTCAAAATAGGGTGAGTGTGGACAGTGCAGCTGTACTTATTTCAAAATAAGAAGCCTGCAGGCTCCTGGCTTGGCCAGCACTTTCCCATGCCTGCTTGTCCCCGGGACATGGGGGAAGTGAGGCTTCCCTGGGGCGTCCATGCCCTTGCAGGAAAATGCTGCTGTGTAGGCAATAAATGGTCTTGCTTGAAGCACATCACCATCATCTGACCCAAGACCTTCGGTACTGGCTCAGATATTAGGGCGAGGCTTCATGCACAGTGTCTCCTGGGATGACTGCCCTTCTCACTTTTCTTCACAGCTGAGAGTGTGGCATGTCTACCACCTCCTGTATCTTCAACATGACCCCGCAAGAGCTGCAGGCAGAGGTGATCCCAGGATGACTTGGCAAGGGAACACCTTGAGTGCCTCCAGTCCCTGAACCACAACTTTGAGGAGGACTGCCAGGAGCATTGTACTGACTGGAAGCTGCACCACACCATCTGGGAGCAGCTGTCCTAGTAGCATGAGGCAATGTATGTGGCATACACCAACACTGTCAAGGGCCTGGTCACTGTCACTGAATGATCCATCAGCCACCTCGCAGCACCCACTCCTCCCACACCCACCCTTGCCCCCAACCCTTCCCCCAGCTTTTCCTCCTGACTCCCTCTTCCCCCCTCCCTCCCCCTGGGGGCCACTGAGGGCTGTGCATATGAGGTGGTGGGACCTCTCAGGCAGCTGAAGCAGGCACCAGTCCCAGACCCATTCCTGAGCCCCTCCTCCTTCTTCCTCCCAGGTTTTTTCACCAGTCCCTCCGCAGTTATATGTTCCCCAAATAAATGTAAGAGTTTATTGTTTCAAACAAAAAGTCCTTTTTATTTGGTCTGCTGGGGAAGGGAGGTGTTGGGGAGAAAAGGCACAGAGGAGCAAGGCAGAGGCCCCTTGCAGGGAGGCCTAGAGAAGAGTGTCACAATAACTAGGTGGACACCACAACAAGCCTGTGTCTCCACAGCGAGCCCATTATTTCAAAGTATCATGGGCTCGCTATTCCGACGTCCCTGTAAACCTCATTCCATGGGGAGTAAGGGATGTTTCGGAATAGCGGGTTATTTCAAAATTTTACTTGAAGTAAGCTATGCAACTTGAGTAGCTCAAATTGCATAGCTTATTTTGAGCTACGGGTGCAGTGTGGATGCACCTTCAGAAAGCTGTAAGATGGAACTTTCTTCCCAGACCAGAAAATTAACATCAGAGGTACTAAAATGCCAATAGTGATTTTGGAGACCCAGCCTATCCCTGGCTTCCTTGGCTCATAAAGCTGTACACAGGTATCCTGGACCACAGTAAGGAGCAGTTCAATTACAGGCTGAGGAAGTGCAGAGTGGTGGTAGAGTGTACTTTAGGATGTTTACAGGGAACGGTTTGCAGTTTGACTAAACTAGACCTCAGTGAAAGTAACATTCTCATTGTTGTGGCAGCCATCTGTGGCTCCATAAAATGTGTGAAAGTAAGGGCGAAAATTTTATGCCAGGGTGATGGGTTGAGGGATGGCATCTAGTCTCTAATTATGAGCATCCAGACACCAGGGCAATAAGGAGAGCACATTGAGGGGCAGTGCAAATCAGAAAGGCTCTGAAAAACAGCTTTGTGAATGGCTAGGCAGTGATACAACAGTCATACATGTTGCTTTTCAGTGTGCTTGCCTGTAAACCCTCCCTCCATGCAACACAAGCAATAAATATACTCTTGTGAGAAAGCATGACCTTTTATTTAGGGAATACAAGGAAGCAGTGACAGAAAAGGAGTTTAGAGCAGGAGCTACAGGGGGAGGAGGAGGAGAAGGAAATGTGACATGTTACCATGCCCTGTTCAGCAATCACGCAGGTGTGAGAATGACAGCCTTTTGTTCTGGGACAAGTCCAGGGGGTTGAGTGTGAGGCTGACCTTGACTTCCCCTCCCTACTCCCTGCATTCTAGGGTGCCTAGGATAGGCGATTATGGAACTTGATGAGCAGAGAATGTGGGTCAGCATGAGCTGGAGGGTGTCTTTTGCATCTGACTCCTGTGAGTCTACAGGCACGTAATGAGCTCCGTCTTGGCTCTGAAGACAATTCTCCTATGTCCTCACTTCATATTTCCTGCATGCTCTTTTCTTCTCACACTCTGCTTACATCTCCTGTAGCAGCATTCTCTCCTCATTTAATTGCACCCTGTCCAAGCAGGTGGATTGCATTTGCTCATTGAACATATCATCCTGATTAGGTTTTTGCCTTCATAGCTGTGCTAGCTGAACAGCTGGAGGAATGGGCAACAGGCTCGCTCTTCTGCCCACTAACAAAAAATGTGAAGGGCAGCCTTTACAAGAGACACACTGTGGAACATAGAACCTAGTTTCTTAGCATAAAAGAATGTCTGTCCGAGACAATAGGAATGTGTTCTATACAAGGCTAAAGTTATGCTTTTAAGCACTCACTATGCAGAAGGTACACCACGTAGAGCTTAAGGGAGCAGCTGGACTCGGTTTGGTGGCAGGCATGGTAAGGGACAGGTCAGGGCTCACTCTTTTGCTTCCGCTTTGAAAGCATGTATGACACAGTGTTTACAAATAGCAGCTCCCACATCTAGGCAACCATCTGCATTTGCTAAGGGGGAGGCCTCGGTGGTGTGACAACAGGGCAAGGGCTCACACATTGACTGTGTTCACCCTCCACCCCCAGTTTGCCAGGAGTGTGCAAATTTCCCTTCTCACAAGGGTCTGGCCATGGCAGAAAGGCAGATCAGGGACTCATACAATGACTGAGTGGCACCCCACATTTGCCAGGAGAGTTCAACTTTCCCTTCTTCCAGGAACTTGTGGAAGAGAGAGGGTCTAGGCATAGTGCAGTGGCAGCAGGACTGCGCAGGGGCTCACAGATACTAAGGAGCTTGTGGGCAGGAGAGGAAGGGTGTCCAGGTGTAGTCGCAGGGCAGAGGCTCAAGCTAGGCTTTGTTGAGGATGAGCAAATGAAGGTATGCTGCCAGTGGTATCAGTTACAGAGCTTCCCTTGCTTCTCCAGGTTGCCATGCGAGATATCAGTCTTCTTTGAATCACAGAGTGATAAGGAGCAATTCTGACTGAATGGAGGCAGAAACTTGAACTTTATGCTGCAATGGTTTGTACTGCAACGAAGTCAGACTGCTTAGTGCTGGGCTTGGCATGGAAAGGAGTCCTACCATGGAGGAAGGAATAAGGCAAGCCCCACCAGAAACCTCGTAAGAGGATGAAAGAGTACCTCTGTGAGAGCTTTATGGAGTATGCAGGGTGGATTCACTTAGTGCTGGGCTTGGCATGGAAAGGAGTCCTACCATGGAGGAAGGAATAAGGCAAGCCCCACCAGAAACCTCGTAAGAGGATGAAAGAGTACCTCTGTGAGAGCTTTATGGAGTATGCAGGGTGGATTCACAGGGTATGGCTAGACTACAAGCCTCTTTCGAAAGAGATCGTCTAGACAGCCACAAGGGTTTCAAAAAAGCGATCCACTTTTTCAAAAGAAAGCACCCAGGCAATCTGGACGCTCTTTTGAAAAAGCCCTGTTTGCGTTCAAGAACACCTTTTTTTGAAAGAGCTCTTTCGAAAAAAAGGCATTCTTCTTGGTAAAAGTAGGTTTACCAATTTTAAAAAAAAACGCCGCGTTCTTTCAATTTAATTTTGAAAGAATGCTATGGCAGTCTAGATGCAGGTGAAGTTTTTTCGAAAAAAGGCCACTTTTTTCGAAAAAACTCAGTAGTCTAGACACACCCCCACTGTCTTCAGACACATTAACAAGCTTTTCTGGGGAACCCCCATTGTGTAGGCAGAGTGGCCACCACATATCACTGCTAGTTGCCTTAACCCACTTGTAGCATGATTTGAAAATGTGAACTCACCAGAAGTGCTCTCCCCGCCATCAGGGCCCAGCAGCAATACATCCTGGGAGGAGGGGATTGGTTCCAAAGTTACGAAAAGGTCCTGGCTGTCGGTGAGATCAGATGCTCCGCTCGCCTGCTGATCAGTTTCATCTTCCTCCTCTTCCTCATCCACACTGTCCTCCCTGCTGTTCCCCAGGGTTGTTGTCTGAGGAGTCTTTTGGGAGAAATCCGTAGATTGACTGGGGGGACACTGCAGGGGTCTCCCCTAGAATCTCATCCAGCTTCTCATGGAAGCAGTGTGTTTGCAGCACTGACACAGACCGTCCATTTGCCTCCTTTGTCTTCTGGCACGCCTCCCTGAGCTCCTTTATGTTTATGCTGAACTGGTGGGTGTCCCTGGTGCATCCTTTCTCTGCCATGCCCTGTGCAATCTTGGCATAGATATCAGCATTTCTTTTGCTGTTTCATAGTGCTGCTTGAACAGATACTTCTCCCCACATAGCAGTGAGGTCCAGGATCTCCAGCACACTCCATGCTGGAGATCGTTTGCGACCCTCGACATTCATAGTCAAGTGTGCTGCTATGTTGGCAAAATAGGAAATTAAATTCAGATTTTCCTAAGCCTTTTCCTATGCACCTGGAGAGCAACAGAGTTGAAAGTGCTAACCAGAGCAGTCACACTGGGGCACTGTGGGACACCTCCTAGAGGCCAAAAACATTGACTTTCACAGCACTGCATCTGCACTACTCTAAAGTTGACCATGTAAGGTTGAATTTACCATTACTCCTCGTGAAAAGCAGGGTTACTGAAATTGACTTTAACAACCCTTGAAGTTGGCAGATCAGGCTTGGTGGTGTGGACGCGGTGTTTAAAAAAAAAATCAACCTAATGCAGCTAAGTTTGACCTAAATTCCTAGTGTAGATCAAGAGATTGTGTATTCTTTATAAGGCGGTCTTGAATTTCTTTCTGTAGGGATTTAATATAGTGGGCATTATGACCTTGTGTGACCTTGGCTAAGGCATTGAATTTTTTAGTAGATACTGGACCTCCCTGCTCAGTCACCCTCAGGATCTGACCGGTCATGGATGAGGGATTTTGCCAGACCAGGAGAGGTCATTTCTGGACTCCTGGCTTGGCCAACTCCCCACGTCTTGCCAGCCCCACTGGACAGCCATTGCTGCAATGGCTCTGGGACCCACCGTGTGGCCACACATGCCATATTGGAGTTCTGGGACCTACTGAGCAGCTGCACGCACTGCACTGGAATTCTGGGACCTGCTGGGCAGCTGTATGCGCTGTGTTGGAGCTCTGGGACCCGCAGGGCAGCCATGCACCACAGCTCCCAGCCCCACTGGGCAGCCCCACTGCCACATATTGGGTGTCCCCACTGTCAGCTGCCCACTGCCCTGCCTGCCCCACAGGGATGTTTGCCACTGGCCGTCCACCAGGACTCTGGTCCTGTACCACCCATGACAGACCATGGATGTTGCCGGACCAGAGAATCCCAGTTAAGAGAGTTTCAACCTGTAGCAAATCCCTAAAAAGTAGGAAGCAGGAAGTGAAGTGCCACTCCTATGCGGGGGTGATATGCTGCCCTTTATTCAGGGCAGTGCCTTAGAACACAATCTAGCCCTTACAACAGATGTGTCAAATTCCATTGTTAATTATGGTCTGTTGGATTTGGCATAAACTTGGGGCTCTGAATCTACAGTATATTTCCCATTGGTGTCAGTGGAAGATCTATAGAGCTCAAGAGTTAATCTGGATCCTTTCAGGGAAGCTAAACTTTTCAATACTTATTTTAATCAATGCCTAAGGCTATGTCTACACTAGCACTTTCAAAATAATTTATGCCTAGGGCCTACCAAATTCATGGCCGTGAAAATGGCATCATAGACTATGAAATCTGGTCTTGTGTGTTTTTACCCTATGCTAT